AAAAAAAAAAAAAAAAAAAAAAATCCAATGGTTCCCTAACATTTCTAAAATCTATGGGGGACACAGAGAGTGTGAATTTTTTCATTTCTTCAAAGTGAATGGGAATAACTGAAGGCCTCCGCACATTCTTTGCACCAATAAGATTTCTCAACAGTGTGAATTCAAATGTGGTAATTATGGCATAAGAAATTCCTAAGATTTCCACATTCCTTACATTCAGAGTTTTCTTCTTCAGTGTGTTTTTAAATGTTTAGTAAGTAAATAAAATCTATTGTAGGCTTTCCCACATTCGTTACATATATAGGGTTTCTCTCCAGTGTGAATTCTAACGTGTTTCTGTAGGTGTGAAGAAGCACGAAAGGTTTTCCCACATTCCTTACATATATACGGTTTCTCTCCAGTGTGAGTTCTTATATGTTCGATGAGTTGCGAAGATGTAGCAAAGGCTTTCCCACAGTCCTTACATTCAAAGGGCTTCTCTCCGGTATGGATTTTTACATGATTATGTAAGCTTGAGGAAACAGTGAATGCTTTCCCACAGTCCTTACATTTATAGGGTTTTATTCCAGTGTGAATTCTAAAGTGATTCTTAAGGCATGAAGAGCTTCTAAAGGATTTTCCACATACCTTACATTCAAAGGGCTTCTCCTCTGTGTGAGTTTTAAAATGTTCAGTTAGTAGATAAAACCTATTGTAGGCTTTCCCACATTCGTTACATTCATAGGGCTTCTCTCCAGTGTGTATTCGTACATGTTTAGTAAGGCCTGAGCGCCCAGCGAAGGCTCTTCCACATTCCTTACACTGATAGGGTTTTTCTCCAGTATGAATTCTTACATGTTCAACTAGGTGTGAAGAAACAGTGAAGCATTTCCCACATTCTTTACATTCGTAGGGTTTCTCCCCAGTATGGGTTCGCATGTGACTATTAAGATATGAAGAATACCTAAAGAATTTTCCGCATTCCTTACATTCGTAGGGTTTTTCTACAGTACGCATTTGAACAGACACAGCATGGCTTGTGGAGTAAGTAAAAGCTCTCCCACATTGCTTCTGCTCATAGAGATTTTCTCCACTGTGAGTTATCCTATTTGGCTGAAGATGTGACTGATCAACAAAGGCTTCCTCACAGTCACTGTATTCAAAGGATTTGTCTCCTATCCACGTTCTCTGGTGAACATTTGGTGGCAGGCTAAAGGCTTTTCTACACTGATTCAACACAGAAAGTGTCTCTCCAGTAGGGGCACTGTTGTGGAACATGGGAAAGTTTTCTCCATACTCGTCACAGTCATAAGTGTCCCCTGTATTTTCAGTTTCCACGTGTGTATTAAGGCATGAGTGTTCACTAAAGATTTCTCCATTTTCCATAAAGTCACAGAGTTCCCCTCCATTGTGGATTTCAGCCTGTTAATAAAGAGATGAATAATGATTAAAGGATTTTTCAGACTTATCAATAAATTCTACTCATCTGAAATGAGATACTTTATTGTAATTTTTGCCATTTTCATTACATGCATACAGTTTGCTGCCCCATGGAACTTTTACAAGCTGAATGAAGAAAACCTGCTGGCAAGAACCTTGTGCCATTTGCTCTAAGAACCTTGAAATAATTCCTGTATATTTTCATGAAATTGTTTTTATAATCTCTATCTAGCTATGTAGCTACATGTGATAATTTGTGAGAATACTGAAGCACCAAGTTTTAAGATAGGATCAGGGTATCCCCAAATTCATTATGTTTAGAGTATCCCTCTAGACCAGAGGTCCCCAACCTTTTTGGAACCAGGGACCAGTTTCGTAGAAGAAAATTTTTCCACAAACAGGGGTGGAATGGGGGTAGGATAGGGATGGTTTCAGCATGATTCAAGCACAGTACATTTATTGTGACTTCATTTCTATTATTATTACATTATAATATATGATTAAATAATAATACAATTTCCCATAATGTAGAATCAGGAGGAGGCCTGAGCTTTTTTCCTGCAAAAAGACAGTCCTATCTAGGTCATGGGAGACAGTGACAGATCAGGCTCATAAGGAGCACACAATCTAGAACCCTAGCACGGGCAGTTCACAATAAGGTTTGTGCTATAGGAATCTAATGCTACGACTGATCTGACAGGAGGAGCTCAGGCAGTAATACAAGTGATGGGTAATAGCTATAAACACAGATGAAGCTTTGTTCACTCACTGCTCACTTCCTGTTGTGCAGCCCAGTTCCTAACCAGTACCAGTGGGGAACCTTGCTCTAGAGACATAACTCCTGCTTGGGTAAATGCTACCGCTCTCAAATATCTCTAATTTTTGCTGATATTTTATAATGGAATTCTCAATCTTTTTGAGTGTGATAAATAAGAAATCTTAATCTTACCATTTGTATGCCGTTTGATGTTTTGTTAAGCCAAAAAGAAGGTTGTTGAAGTGCTGACACTTTGGTTTTAACTTGTCATTCTGAAGTAAAACAGAAAAAAAAAAAGAAAAAAAGGGTCTGAGAACAAAATGGTAGGTTAAATAAGGAAGAATTAAAAAGCTCATTTATATTTTTCATATTCAGCACACTCAAAAAAATTAAACAAGCACAGATCTGAACAGTTCATCCATGACTAATATGGACCACAATTAAGGACTTGGAGTCTAAATTTAATAATTTTTTTTTTTTTTTAATACAGAGTCTCACTCTGTCACCCAGGCTGGAGTGCAGTGGCATGACCTCGGCTCACTGCAGCCTCTGCCTCCGAGTAGCGTGGATTACAGGTGCCCACCACCACGCCTGACTAATTTTTGTATTTTTAGTAAAAATAAAGTTTCTCCATGTTGGCCAGCCTGGCCTTGAACTCCTGACCTCAGCTGATCCACCCACCTCAGCCTCCCAAAGTGCTGGGGTTACGGGTATGAGCCACCGCACCTGGCAATTTGTAATTTTTAAAACAATTTATTCTATAGAAATTAAATGAGATAGTGAACAGAAATAATATTATTAGAGAAGGAAAGCAGAAACAATCTGGATAAAGAGCACACATTAAAATCATAAACAACAACAAAAAAAGCAGAACATTTGCAAAATCATATGAAACTCTGGGTTAGATGAAAAAGAGAGGAATATGGAAAGTTGAAGACACCCTAAAACTTCCGAGTCCAAAGGCCCCATGTTCTATGACAAACTACATCTTTTAAATGTCTTCATTATGCTTCCAAACACACTGAACTTCTCATTGACCAGGAATGTTCTTCACACTCACCTTGGAGAACTCCTATTGACAATGTGCTCAACTTTTCTTCCTCCTCCAGTCAAGAGACAGACTGAATTTGAACAGGTCCTGTACACACGAGAAAATATACCAATGGAAGAGGCTTATGCAAGAGATGACAAATCTATCCAAGAAAAGTTAACTATATTCCTAAAGAGAGCAGTGAAGCTATTTTAAAAGAGCTCAAATTTCATATATCTAATCTTTTTATGCCCTGAGGAGATTGGTTATCTCTGACCCAATACCCACCATTCAGGCTCAAATACACATTTAAAAACCAGTAAAGAGTGGACACAGTGGCTAATGCCTATAATCCCAGCTCTTTGGGTGATTTTAAAAATCACCTGAGCCCAGGGAGGTTGAGGCTGCAATGAGCCACGATTGCGCCACTGTACTCCAGCCTACGAGACAGAGTGAGACCATGTCTCCAAAAAAATAAAATAAAAACCATTAAAACTTTTATTCAAACAGGAAATAATGCAAGTGCAAAGACAGATTATTATTTTGTTTTTTGGTTTTTTTTGAGACAGAGTCTTACTCTGTCACCCAGGCGGAGGGTAATGGTGCAATCTTGGCTCACTGTAAACTTCTACCTCCCAGGTCCAAGCGATTCTCCCACCTCAGCCTCCCAAGCAGCTGGGAGTACAGGCAGCTGATACCATGCCTGGCTAAATGTTTTTTGTATTTTAGTAGAGATGGGGTTTCACCATGTTGGCCAGGCTGATCTTGAACTCCTCACCTCAGGTGATCCACCCACCTTGGCTTCCCAAAATGCTGGGATTACAGGCGTAAGCTACCACGCCCAGCTGAGATCATTGTTTTTTTTTTGACAGTGTTGTCAGAAGTTTGAATATTGTGTCTTTTGGAGCTTTTCTTTTTTTTTTTTTTTTTTTTTGGAGACGGAGTTTCGCTCTTGTTACCCAGGCTGGAGTGCAATGGCGCGATCTCGGCTCACCGCAACCTCCGCCTCCTGAGTTCAAGCAATTCTCCTGCCTCAGCCTCCTGAGTAGCTGGGACTACAGGCATGCGTCACCATGCCCAGCTAATTTTTTTGTAGTTTTAGTAGAGACGGGGTTTCACCATGTTGACCAGGATGGTCTCGATTTCTTGACCTCGTGATCCACCCGCCTCGGCCTCCCAAAGTGCTGGGATTACAGGCTTGAGCCACCGCGCCCGGCCTTGGAGCTTTTATCATATCATAGTATTACATCTTTCTCTCTGTCTTTTTTTTCTTTTTTTGAGACAGATTTTTGCTCTGTCATAGGCTGGAGTGCAGTGACACAATCTTAGCTCACTGCAACCTCTGCTGTCACCCACCCTGGTTCAGACGATACAAAAACTAGCCAGGCATGGTGGCACATGCCTGTAGTCCCAACTACTCAGGGGGCTGAGGCTGCAATGAGCCAAGATCATGCCACTGAACTTCAGCCTCGGCGACAGAGTAAGACTGTCTCAAAAAAAAAAAAAAAAAAAAATAGAGAGAAAGAAAGAAAGAAAAAAACTCAGAGAGCTTCTTTAGGACAGCCCTGAAATAAAGCTACTTCTTATGTTCTCAGACCTGAAACTGTTATAATTAATGAGGCTCATATGCCAGAGCTTCCCTGGTATAATGGGAAAGCGGGAATCCTAGAGACAAGAGTGTCACTGGATTTACTATGTGTCATCTGTATAGCCCACTTCCCTGTCCTCTGTTGAGAGTGCAGAAGACACTCTCTTCACAAAGGTTATTGAGAGAGGAGTGAGAGGAGTATTGTAATCCTTGAAGAGCTCTGCTGGTATTCTCCTCCATAGGACAGGTATGACTGCAAAGAATACCATCACTGAGATGAGTTCCCTGCTTTCAGTCCAGATGAAGGGGACCCAGAATAGGAGAAATCACCAAAGACAAGGTGAGCAAATCAACTATCAAGGACAGTGGAAATGTATCAGTAATCAGAATGTCCTAACCTACAGAGATCTGTGGTGGTGGCTTACTAATCGTGCTATCCCTAGAAATGAAACAGATAAGCAGTTAACGAATCCCACTCTAAAGAGCCACAAAATATATGTTAGTCATTATGGGCCATACGGTCTCTGTTGCAACTACTCAACTCTGCTGTTGTAGCATGGAAGACACCATAGAAAACATAAACAAATGAACACGGTTGTATTCTGATTAAACTTTATACATGAACAACATGTGGAGGGACAGACATGGCCCATGGGCTATGGTGTGCCATTCTCTGTACTTGAATGCTGTTCTATCTACGTAAAAAAGTCTAGGCTGGGCGTGGTAGCTTACTCCTGTAATCCCAGCACTTTGGGAGGCAGGCGGATCACAAGGTCAAGAGATCAAGACCATCCTGGCCAACATGGTGAAACCCATTCTCTACTAAAAATATAAAAATTAGCTGGGCATGGTGGCACATGCCTGTAGTCCCAGCTAGTCGGGAGGCCGAGACAGAAGAATCGCTTGAACCCAGGAGGCGAGAGGCAGCAGTGAGCCAAGATTGCACCACTGCACTCCAGCCTGATGATAGAGTAAGATTTTGTCTCAAAAAAAAAAAAAAAAGTCTGATGTAGCCAAAAACTTGAGTTATCCCAGTGGAGAATCATGACCTCTCACTCAATCACCACACCTAAATCATTCACAAATCATGAACTTAGGTGATCACTCCAATTACAGCCAACTTTCAAAATGTAATGTCTAACAGAACATATCAACACAATTTCTGTCACTTGGTATTCCTGTCACAGGTACTGGCACAGCCCATGTCTTTTCCCCATACCAATTTGAAAAAGCCAAGACTCAGTTACCTTTTACCTGGCAGGACCAACAATGTATCTTCACAGCACTGCCCTAACCTGTGTCAGTTCTCCAGGTCTCTGGGCCTCCCAGAGATAATGACGTTCCATGAAACACCACACTGGTACACTATGCTGACACCACTATACTGATCATATGCAATAAGTAGGAAGTAGAAAATACATTTTTAAAAATTAGAGACAGGGTCTTACTCTGTCACCCAGGCTGGATTACAGTGGTGTGATCATAGTTCACTACAAACTCAAACTACTGGGCTCAAGCAATCTTCCTGTGTCGGCCTCCCAAGTATGTGGGACTACAGGCACATCCTACAATGCCTGGCTAATTTTTTTTCCCCCTATAGACATGAGGTTTCACTATGTTGACCAGGCTAATTTCAAACACCTGGCCTCAAACAATCCTCCCACTTCAGCCTCCCAGTGTTAGGATTACAGGCATGAACCACTGTGCCCTACCTGAAAATACCTTAGACAACTTTATTAGAAACGTGCAGCATTTATGATTCCAAAATGGCAGTACAGAAGCAAGCTGGTTTCACTCCCCTTCCAGAAAACCAAAACCAAATACACACCGTGAAAATTATTACCAGCAATATCCCTGATCTCAAATATAAAAATTAGGCAGTTTCTGGGGCTACAAAGAAGTGAAAAAACTCCAGAGAGATGTTAAGAGAATCAAATTTCCATATCCACGACACCCTTCTCCTTAATCTGTCCAACACCAAGAATGTGGAAAATTTCCATCGATTCACAGTTTCTACACTGGAAAAAATTGCGATCAAGGTAGATAACCATATTCTCCATCACCGTGGGTTCCCTGGTAAAAGATCAGTCCCTCCCTGTCTCAACCACAAGTGCCTGAAGGGAGAAATACCCTGAGGACATCCAGGGACAAAAAAAAAAAAAAAAACGGAGGCAGGACTCCCATCCCCAGCCCTGGAAACTCTGTTTTATAACTTGGCCAAAGGAGAAGGTAAATCAGAGCGGCTGTTCAGGCTGTTCAGGACAACTATGCTGTAGGGGCATGCTACACAGGCCCCTGGGCATGAACACACAGCCAGCCTTCCCCCATTGCTGGGATATGCCCTTTGGAACTCCCCCATTCTAGATGGGCAGTATTCTTTTTTTTTTTTTTTTGATGGTGTATCACTGTGTCTCCTAGACTAGAGTCCAGTGGTGTGATCTCGGCTCCCTGCAAACTCTGCCTACCATGTTCAAGTGATTCTCCTGCCTTAGCCTCCCCAGTAGCTAGGATTACAGGCACCCGTCACCATGCCTAACTGAATTTTTTGTATTTTTTTAGTAGAGACAGGGTTTTTCCACGTTGGCCAGGCTGGTCTCAAACTCCTGACCTCAGGTGATCCTCCTGTCTCAGCCTCCCAAAGTGCTGGGATTACA